AGTTAGGGAACTAACAACCAAAAAGTTATCCACACTGTTTACCGGGAAAAGAAAGTGCCAACTGAAGAGAGTAGATAAACATATAGCCTTGAGGGTGCTAGTGGGAATTGAGATTCCATCAAAGACTGCAATTTTTTCTTTCCAAAGACTCCAAAAAATAACTGCTTGGATCATCCTCCATAGCCTTTTCAAAGTCTTGCTAGCTCTCCATCCTATCCAACTAGCAAAGGCATCTTTAATGGAGAAAGGCATAACCCATTGAAGACCAAACAGTGAGTGGAAAAAATGCCACAAGTCAGTTGCTGTAGGGCAGTGTAAAAGTGATGGTTAACAGTTTCATTATCCTTCTGGCAAAATTTCATCATCCCCTTCTTTCTAAGGTTATCTTGAGTTAGATAGGCCTTATGAATAGTTGTACAGGTAAAACAAGAAACCTTTAGAGGTTGTCAACCAGATATGTTTCCAGGGAAAAACATCAAGGATGCCATTCTGTGAATGCCAAAAATTATAGCTCTCCTTCATGGTATAAATCTCTTCCTTGGTGTTGCCCCAAAGTAATCTGTCTGTGGTTTGTTCATCTAGGTTGCATTCCTCCAGAGTCGTAGTAGTGAGAGGAGTTCATTGATCTCCCAGTCCTGCAAGTTCTTTCTGAAAATTGGGCTCCAAATGTTGTCTACTCTGTATTAGGCAATTGTAGCATTCTTGTTAGTGGCTATCTAGTATAGCATAGGGAAGGACCCCTTCATTATAGTGTCACCAAGCCATTTGTCTTGCCAAAATCTTATCTTAGTCCATTACCAGCTTTGAAAAGCACTTTCCGGAAAAGTCATCTTGGAGACTGCTGATGTGTTTCCAAACCCCCTACACCATGTGTACCCCTGCTCCTCATTGGCCTCCAATGATCAAGTATGCCATGTTTGGCTTTGATTATACCCTTCCAGTACCCTTCCTCATTCTGTCCAAACCTCCAAAGCCACTTCAAAAGTAAACCTTTATTATGTAGTTGTAGGTTCCTGATTCTCAATCCTCCTTGAGCCTTGGGCTGAGTGACTTTTTGCCATTTCTCCAAAGGGAATTTGTAAGTTTGGATGTTTCCTTCCCAAAGGAATCTTCTCCTTAGCCTATCTATTTGTTTTAGAACTGAGCTTGGCATTGGAAATAGAGACATACAATAAGTAGGAATGCTATCCAGAACATTGTTGATAAGAGTTAGTCTTCCTCCCATTAATAGATACCGAAGGTGCCATGTAGCTAGTCTCTTTTCCATCTTTTCAATTACTCCATTCCAAATCTCAGGGGATTTGAATTTTGCACCTAATGGTAGACCCAAGTAAGTGGTAGGAAAGGAGCCTATGTTACAACTGAGTATGTCAGCAAATTTCTCTAGGTTTTGAACCTTGTTGACGGGGTATATTATGCTCTTGATCATGTTAATGTGAAGACCAGAAATAGATTCAAAGACCATGAGAGTAGTATTGAGGTTATAAACTTGCTGACTATCTGCTCCACAAAAAATCAGAGTATCATCTGCATAGAGCAAATGAGATACAATAACTGAGGTTGAAGGATCCTTGCCCAACGTGAAACCCTTGTATCCATTGTAGCTCTTTTGCCTTTTCCAGCATTTGAGAGAGGCCCTCTATAGCCAAAATAAAGAGGAAAGGGGAGAGTGGGTCTCCCTGTCTTATTCCCTTTTGGGAGGAGAAAAATCCCATAGGACTTCTATTTAATAGGATTGAGAACTTCACCGTTGAGATGCAGAAAAAAACCCATTTAATCCACTTGTTACCAAATCCCATTTGTTTTAGAATGTTGACCAGATAAGACAATTTAGTTGATCAAAGGCCTTCTCTATGTCTAATTTGCATAAGATCCCAGATTCACCACTTATGATTTTCCCGTCTAAAACTTCATTGGCGATCATGGATGCATCAGTGATTTGTCTGCCCTTCATGAATGCACTTTGTTGGTCTGAGATTAGGGAGGATACTACCCTTTTCAGCCTCTCAGCTAGGGTCTTCGCCAAAAGTTTGTTAACACTGCCTATAAGGCTTATTGGCCTGAAGTCCTTTAGTTCCAGGGCACCTTTCTTCTTTGGGATGAGAGCAATGAAAGTGGCATTGCAAGACCTCACCATTTGACAATTCTGATGGAAGAAAGTGAGGGCTTCCATTATGTCAGATTTGATAAAGCTCCATGATTTCTGGAAAAAGGCTATAGTAAAACCAACCAGGCTTGGTGCTTTGTCAGGAGCACAAGATTTGAGGGCATCTAATACTTCTTGTTCATTGAAAGGTGCTTCTAGCTCCTCTTTTTCTTCAGCACTGATAGTGGAGAGTCCTTCAAAAACAGCCAAGGGTCTCCAAGCTTCTTCCTCTTTGTACAACGTCTGATAGAATTCTAGGATTCCTCTCTTTGTCAGCTCTTTATCCTCAATTAAATCATCCCTAATCTTCAATCTATCAATGCAGTTGCTCCTTCTATGAGAGTTGGTCATTCTCTAGAAAAAAATTGTATTCTAATCACCTTCTTTTAGGCTTTAGCCATAAACATCTTGACTTTTGTCTCCATGAGATCTCTTCAGCAATGGCGATCTGTTGAATCTCAAGTTTCAGTCATAGTGACTTCACATTTTCCTCGGGGGTGTGAGTTCTTTATTCAGCAATTTGGTCCAACCTTCCTAGTTCCATCAGTGTTTTGTCTTTGAGATTCAATCTGGCCAAAGACCTCTCTGTTCCATTTGGTGATATCCCTCTTTAGGTGTCTCAGCTTCTGGACCAAGATAAATCAGGAATGCCTGAAACATTGTAAGAATTCCACCAATCTCTCACCATGTAAGGAATCCATCTGATTGTAACCACATATTCTCGAATTTGAAGTAAGAAGGTGAAGCTTCCCAATCCCCACTTTCCAGAACAATAGGCTTGTGATCAGAAAACACTCTAGGCAATGGGTATTATTTAATGGCATTGAACATTTCACTCCATTCGGGTGATATTAGAAACCTGTGAATTCTTGAGGCTTGTAAATGAGCCTCCCCTCTTGACCAGGTGAATTGAGCTCCTTGAAGAGGAGGGTCAATCAATTATAAGTCTTGAATGGTATTAGAGAAGCCCATCATGGCCCTAGATCTTCTAGTACAGTTCAGTTTTTCCTCTTCAAATCTGCATACATTAAAATCACCACCAATTACCCTCAAGTCAGACCACAGACCCTGATAGCTGCTAGTTCATTCCAAAGTTCATCTCTTTCCGGATTAGTGTGAGGTCCATACACCCCTGAAAGAACCCATTTAAAATCTTCATTGAGGCTTTCAAATCTGCAAGATAGGAAAAAGATCTCAGCTTCAGAATCCACACAATTCCCGACCCTTTTATCCCACATAATAAGAATCCCCCCTTTGGTTCCAATTGCCTTGAGTTCTACCCAAGAAATCCACCTATTTCCCCAAACCTGTCTAATTAAAGAGCTGGTCCACTCCTCAATTTTGGTTTCTTGTAAACAAATGATGTCTGCTCCACATTTTTATTATTAATAAATAAGAGATTTCAAGGTGCATCTCTATTATTTAATCCCTGTACATTCCAAATGAGTGTTTTGACTCTCATCTAGAATGACCCTTGTGAGACCTGCCCCTATCTTTCTTACCACTGCCCTCTTGAAGTCCCCAAGCCAACTTTTTCAGTTCAGCGTCTGCTTTGTTTTTCCCTTTCCTAGAGTCCTTTACTTTCTTCTGTTCTTGAATCTGATTTTTTCTCTTTTCCTCCATTCTGAGAACGATATCGAGGATTTCATGTTCAAAACTTGATTCATTCACCTCCAAAACCTTGCAAGCTTTCATCATTGTCAATTTGGACCATTTGGAGGTTTCCACCACCACAGGGGTATCAACAGGCTGCAAAGGTTCACCACCACCATGCCATGGAAGAGGAAGGAAACAATTAAGAGATTGGGAAGAGATATCTGAGTCCAGCCCCTCATGATAAGAATCACAGAAGTGAGAAGAATTGGTGTTGCAAGGAGTGGTGGGCAAATTGATATGGTCAGCTTCATCATCTGCCTCTAATTGTGAAAGTGCATCATCAGAGGTTCCAAATCCCTGAGTTTGGAAGCTTGAATTTCCAATTCACTGGATCGAAAGAGGCTGTGTCGTGTGAGGAAGCAGAAGGAGGCTTGGAGATGGGTCAACTTTGGATGCAGTTGTTTTCCATTGTTGCGTCACTCTTGCATGCTGAGAATTTTTGTTTCTGACTGGACCTTTAGAATGGAAGCTGGTGTTTAAATCACTGAGAGTACTTCTTTTAATGGCCTTCCCCTTGTCACTTGATATACAAATAACACCAAGCAAAGTACCATCATCATCATAAAAAGGGGTATCGATAGCAACAACTAGGAATCTATCCCCTTGCTTATTCGTAACTGGAAACTGTACAGTCCAACTCTTACCCCTTATCACTCTGTGTACTATGTTATTAGCAGCATCATGATCCCGAGCATCTGTTAGGAATTCAATGAGGTCACTTCCAAGAGCTTCTGCAGCTGAATAACCATATAGTTTTTCAGCAGTTCGATTCCTGTGCAACAACGGCTCAAATTACATTCCTATAATGATAACTTTAATAAACACCAATTGAAGTCAAACTAAGACCAAATAAAATGTTCTTACCTGCACAATGTTACTTATAAAATGTAACATTATTGTTGAAAATGTGCAAAGCCTTCACACTGATATCAATGGTTTTTTGTGTTTATAGTATTTTTGCAATCTTTGTACGTTTGATTAGTGGACCAGTGGTCATTTTGCTAGTAACACACTTGGTTTTCTTATTCATTAGCTATAAGTGCAGTGTTCATTGAGGGTTAATCAATACTTCTGTTCTTTGATACGGCACTTAGATTTATATTTGGTGCTTCTTTGTAAGCAAAAAATGCTTTTTTTAGAGTATAGTGAAAATATCTTTTATGATATATCATTTGTTGATTACAATCACTTTTTACAGTTCAGAGACTTGATGTCTTGGGGCAGCTGGGTGGTACTCCAAGCTTTATGTTGCATCCACCAAAAGAACACTTGGTTGAAAAGGCAAGTAGCATTTTGTTCTCAAATATCTTTCTGTCAATCATTTGTTCATGGCAAATGTCTCCTTCAGATAAACCCTTTTCGATTTCCAGCCTTCACTGAATAGTTTTAAGTAGCAAGCATAATCTTTCCTTTCTAGTAGAAGGTGGATGCATTTGGCTTAATAATATAAAAGCAACACTTGAACTGCATTACAGCAAAAGGTGAAGGCAATCATACTAGTTATATTTTTTTTTTGAAACTAGTAACATTTGTATTTCATTTAGTACTTAGGTAGTACTGAAAAACCATATTTACAAAAGCAGAAAGGAGTAAAATCTATCCATACTAGTTATATTTTGCTTTACCATTTTAATAAAAAATAATGGCTTGATGGGAAGATGTATATTAGTCAAGACTAAATTACTTTTTGTCATATTGTGTATCAATTTGGCTTGTTCCTTTTAACTTTCGCAATCAAGAAAAAAAAATTATAGAAGGAAAAGGGGAGGCACGGTTGATGGTGGTCTTGATTTGCAGCCATAACTTACAGAAACTCATCCTTGATTTGTTATTCTCTTATTGTTTCTTTTTGTTTGTTACTTTGTTTAGTACAACAAGTAGCATCAATGATCTGATTTCTACTGTCAATGCGTCTGTCATACATTTAAGTGAATGTAATAACTTATCGACAATTTTGAACAGTTCTTTCACCCAGATAACATGTCATCTGGGGAAAAAATGAAACTGGAGCTACAAAAAGTTAGAGATGAATTTAAAATGTCAGAGTCGGATTGTGGATCTGCTCGTGTTCAAGGTGCGTGATCTTGATTTATGATGTCATGTTGTTTAAGGTTGCTACTTTTTTGTTTTTACTACCTTTAGTTTCTAGTTTTAACTTCATGGCGTACAGACCTCAAGAGTTCAGACTGGACCATGTATGCACCTATTAACTGCTTTTCTTAATATCTTGATGTCCTCACATGTGTTTCCTCTCCTTTTTTTTCTAGACTTGATATTCTTTGTGCTCTTTATGCTACTTTTAAGGTTCTGTTGGGCAGTTTGTATCTGGGAAGTTGTCTTCTTTATTTCTACATATGAGGTTGTAATACTTCCTACTTGAGCAGATTCTATGTTCTTTTTTCTGTTTCAAAAACTACCCAATCACTATTCCTTAATTGGACATTATCCTCTACCCCTAACACCACTTTCCAGCATTTTAATCAACGCTGATGCTTGTGCTCTGTCTTAATCTTCTATTTATATCCATTGAAATAGTAGTCAGTCTGCTATGACTTTTTTACTAAGGCTGATTTAAATTTGTCCCATGGCTTTCTGATAGTAATTGTACAAATAGGGAAGATCTATATCATGTACAAAGCAGTATTAATTTGGAGAAATGTGAAGGAGAAAAAGACTGAAACACATGTCGCCATCCTAAAAGAAAAAAACAAAAAGAATAAAGACCAAGAAAAGCTTGGAATCTGCCTTTCTTCTTATTACCTACAATTTGGGTAATGACTTCCAAGTTCCAAGTTAAGCTAGTCATCTGATGTAGTCAGTCAAACGCTTAGTCTGGCAGAGATCTTGCTGCCCAAGTATTTTCTTCAACTACTTCAGAAAGTACAGTGCACCCCAAACAATCGAAATGACTAAAAAACAACATAACAGAGTGCCTGAATCTGAAAATAATAGGATAACTAAGGCCTCATTGTTTGCACTTACTGAAGTATTAGTTGAAATCTTCAACTGAGAAAGGGTGCAGCAGTCTATTAAGAGATAACCTTGCAACTAATGAAATACAAAACAGAGAGCTACTACATAAAGTTGTGACCCTTTGACAGAGCTACAACACAAGAAGAAATAGCTCCTAGGGTTTACTTCAAGTGGCGAAAGTTGTAGGACATGTCACTTAGGTCATAGGTTCGAGCCATGTGCCATGTGAACTAAGCTTGCTATTTAAGTGGAGAAAGATTGAGAAGTGGACTTGTTTTCCCGAGTTTTGAAGCCCACAATTGTCTGTTAGGGTTGGCCCCTAGCAGATTTCTCGGAAAACAGAGGGAGTATTAATTACAGCATAATAATAATTCTTTCATCTTTTATTCATCACATAAACAATCCATGCATTATAATCCCAGCATAACCAGTATGTGAGCCAAAACAGCCCCTAATGGTGAATTCCGGGGATTAAGCGAGATATTGCAATCTATTCCCTTTTTTGTTTGGCAACATGTGCAGAGAGACCTCAAAGTTCTTTGTAGATCTCCTGTCCTCCAGCTTCTAATACCTTAATTTTGCTGTTGATAGATGTTATTTCTCTTGAACTTGTTAAAGAAAAACATATGTAAGGAAGTTGCTTGAATTTGATTTTGTTTAAAGTTGATATTCAAATGGAAGTTCAAGCCACATATGTGCTGCTCCAATGATGTTAATAGTTTCTTACATTGTATATTAATGTTAGCCTTTTTTTTTTGTTTTCAGTGGCTCAACTTACAACAAAAATAAAGCACCTATCTTCAGTTCTTCACAAAAAAGTGAGTTTTCTGCGGAATTGTACCCAATTGAGCATCTTGTGCAGGAATACTCATATCACGAAAACTCCATTTATAGCACATTGTTGGTTATTGTCATATGGTAAAGCATGATTGTTCTTGAAATGCCAACTCAAGAACTTTATTACTTCAGATTGTGAGCTGGTTATTTATAGGGATCTTTACATTAGTAGCTAGACGGATTCACTGTTTACTTTTTTTAGTTGGTATACATAGATTATACATGGTTATGCATGAATTGTTATACTATACATCTTCTGGCTAATATTTATTTTTACATTGTCGTCAATTATCATTTTTTTAAGGATAAGCACTCTCGTAAGGGTCTACAACAAATGGTTCAAAATAGGAAGAAGTTATTGAAGTATCTGCGAAGGACAGATTGGGACTCTTACTGCCTCGTTCTTTCTAAGCTTGGCCTCCGAGACAACCCAGATTACAAGTTCTAGACAAGCACGTATGACATAGTACTTGAATGCAGTTTTTCTTGGGCAGATTGCCGGAAGCTTATTCCATACTAAAACTTTTCCTCTCGTTTTGGGGTGGAGAGGCGATGAGGGGGTCGGACTTTTGTTGTTTGGTTCACTGCCTCCCAAGGGAAGCTCATAACTGATCTTTGAAAGGAGAGCCAAATGTAAGATACCATGTTTTTAATTTATTTTTAATCTTTTTATAACAACGGTGTCTAGAATAACTTGCACACACCAGGACGTGTATCTAACTCTGTGTACCGGGGGCTCATGACATTTTTACCTTGTGATAGTTTGAGGAGTGAAATTAGCAGTAATTGGTCTTCAAGAACCACAATATATTTTCCTTGTTTGAATTGTAGTTGGATTTTAGCAACCTATGTTGCTCAGACTCTTCAAAAATGTCAACAGGTGTGCTGGATTCTCCAAAAGTAGTATATTTTTAGAGAATCCGACATGGGTGTGGCATCAAAAGTGAAGAGTCCGCACAACTTAGGTGGCAAATGGCAAGGTGTTGATTGATTATTCTTTGCTTCAATAATTTCCAGGGATGAATTGTTCCTAATAAGCTTCGCCTTTTTACTCTTCATAATATATTCTTGTGTTATTTCCTCTTGATTTTGATGGTTCGTCGAGAGAACATACGTTTGCTCCGTCAGGTAATTTTCCTATTTTTGTTTTGAATTAAGGTAACGATACGATAACACAACATGTCCGTGTGAATTCACTCTTTTTCTGCAGGAGTGGTGATCACGCGGACCTTAAAATATACAGATAACGACATACTTGTCAAACTAATAGGCAGACGTATTTAAGATTTGAAATTTATAAATTTCTTCAATTAACTTCAAATTGATATATGATAATATGACTGAGTTCATAGTCAAATATTTAATCATATATTTTGTGTTACCAACAAGTTCCTTTTTTTATAAATAAATAAATCCATATAACGCTTGTCAGGTGCAAAATTGTTTATTAAATGCTAAAGAAGGATAGTTCTTAGCATAATTACATAAAAGGATATTTCATTGAGTTGTGGTGGAATGGTTGGAATTTTTTAAAAATTTTTTAGAGCGTTACTCCAAAAATAGGCTCTGTAATACGTGACTCAAATATAGTTGGACTTCAATAAAAAATATTTCTATTGAAATTTATCCCTCTCCTCTTTATTTTTGTGATTAGTAAACAACATATAAAACTTGATGGGCAAACCAAACCTTTATACTTTAATTTGGCATGCTATTTAATTATTAAGTAGTAATAAAACCCAAGAACTTGTTAGCTTGAATTAGAGGAATTTGAATGCTTGGGCTTTCTTCCTTTTTGAGAGCAATTTTGCAAACCTACATATATACAAAGGAAATTACTAGTATATTATAATACTGCTCTCACTCGATAATAGGCATGTGTAGATTAACTTAACATTGAAGTGTGTTTTAATACAAAAACGTGATAGTTTAGATAGGTAAATATATGGTGGTCAGATAAGAACAATTTTGAGACCAAATTTCAAACGGAGGCCAAAGTTGTTACATTCCAATAGTTGAGCGGCAAATTTGAATCAATTCACCAATAATAAATGCATATTTAAAATCAAATTAAAAGGGAAGGCAAAATTGTTCATTTTCCATAATTTAGAGGAGTTTTCTCTTATTTTTAGTCGTTCATTAGTTTTTAAAAAACATTTTTGGGTGAAACGAAAATGGTGAGGGCAGTTTTTTACTTAAGAAATGGACGGAGGGTATTTTTATACTAAATTTAATTAAATTTGGATTCACGTCGAAAAGTGACACATTGGGAGGTAAAACGCTCCCTAATAAAAGCGATTTTATACTAAGGGGACTCGAACCCTAGACTTTTGATTAAGAATGAATGAATACTTATTATTCCACCGCAACCTGTTGGTAGGACTTGGAGCTTTTGTTTTGGCAGTTGGGTGGATTGTATAAATGTAATGAATGTGTGTGTACTAGGTGAATCGTTTGTTTTGATATTAATTTTTGGTTGTTCTGAGAATTAAAATTCTCAAAGTTAGCAGATTTGTTTGGCCATAAAAATTAAGAATGGTACCATAGAGCATTATATTGCACTTTTTTTTTCCCAATTCGGTGTTCGGGATCATATTTTTTTTTTTCAATTCGGTGTTCAGTATCTATATTGGAGCTCGTCCATATTGGGGCTCGACTAAATTCGGATTCGTGGTGGAAAGTCCGACATTGGGAGGTAAAGTGCTCCCTAACAAAGGCGACTCTGTACTCAAAGGGGCTCGAACCTGAGACCTCTGGATTAAGAATGAATTAGGTACTTACCACTCCACCACAATCCGTTATTGGGGTAGGGTTGAGATAGGATTTTTCAAGACCATTTAAAACTAGGGCTTATAAGCCCAATCCATATAAGCCCTTGGCCCTTGAGACTTGATCGGGGCCGGGCTGGGGTCGGCCTATTGGCATAAACTATTTATTTAAGGGTAACTTACAACAATCTCGCTATCATATGAGCAAATTACTTAAATGCACATTATGTTGTGATATTATGAATCTTACCAGATTTTAGTACGTCTAGATACATGTAACATGGACTCAAAATTAGGTTAATTTATTCTAGATACACTCTACCCAAATGGATTCGCATGCATCTAGGATACATAGACGAATCACGCGCCCTCGTCTCCCTCTCATCTCGCTTGTCACTCTCTTATCTCGCTCGAATATCTGGGATACATCTGTAATGACCCGGAAAACTATTTTTTTGGAAATTCTGAACTATTCGTTTAACTTTAGTTAATTAGTTGATGGGCAATTATTAAATAATTTATTTATTTAATTGTTGGTTAATGGATCAAGTCCCTAGTTATTTAATACCTTAGACCTCTTAACCCAGATTTATTAAAATAAAGTAAGTAGGGTTTACTATTTTGAAGTCATTAACTAAGAAAAAAAGAAGAAGAAAAGAAACTGTGGCGGAAAACACTACAGATGCTCCATATTCCTAAGGTCGGTATGCTCGTCCCTTTGAAATATTTTGTTATCAATTGAATTGATAAGCATATAACTTAAAATGATTATAATATATCGGTTATATATATAACTAGTGAATTGCGCGGTCGTAAAAAAATATTTAAATTGATTATATTATCTTTTTATGAAAATGAAAAACCTTTAGACAGTATATATTTGAGTTAATCGATAAATGTGAATTATTTAAAAGATATATTACAAACTTTAATATAGGTGTCGAATAAAAATAACATAAGTTACAAAAATAAAAAGAACGGAGATAAAATTACCAATAAAACAAAATAGAATAACCTTTTTTCTTTACCTATAGAAGGTACTACTACATCATTCCTTGCAATTTTATACAAATTACAAACATCAACGAATTTATCAAATAAAATTTATACGATATTAAAAACAAATTCATTCATAAAATTATGTGAGAATAATAAATAAAAATATTTTTATTTATAATTTCTTTGTTATATGATATACTAACACATAATATTGATAAATTTGTGAAATATAATATCTACAAATTTTAATCAGATCTTTTATTTACTTTGTTATGTAATACTATATACAAAGAACAAGTTTGTGAAGTATACTTCTTAAAAATTTATCGTTATTAATATATTTGTATGCATTTAATCATAGTTTCTTATAGATGAATTTTATTCAAAAACATTAAATAAACTAAAAAAGAAATAGAATACATAGGAAATGATACAATCTAATTCATAGTTTCGGCAGTCTTTTTTTTCTTCTTAATGCCTTTTTTTTTATTTTAGGTTTCTTTTTCATTTTTTTCCTAACGTTAATTATGATCCTTTCTTAATTATAACCTTTATTTTTAAATTTTTCTCTCAAATTTGAAGTCATTTCCTATCCTATTCTACTCCTAATAAATTAAAATTAAAAAACCCTCTCTCTTTTTTTTGTTTGTTTTAAATAGTATCTTCTGTCATTTAAATAACTAATATACATACTCGCGCGTTGCGCGAATATTTTAAAATATAATAATTTTTAAACTTAAAAATAATTAATATGAATTATTATTATTGAGTAACAAAAGTGCATGTATATAATATTAGG